TGGGAAGCTGTACTTCCTATAGCCTTACATGGCACACGAGGCTGACAATGGCTGAGAGGGGCATGAAATGCCCTGTGTCACTTGGCCTTGCCAGGTTCCTCCTACACTGATTTCTCCAAACCCTCCTCCTCCAGCACCTCCTTCCTCCCCTCAGTATCTTTCTCTCATTTCCAAGTCCCCTGGACTTTGATTTAGTAACAACTTTGTTTTTAAAAAATGGGGAGGCGCCTGGGTGGCTTAGTCGGTTAAGCATCCAACTTTCGCTTAGGTCATGATCTCACGGTTCGTGGGTTCGAGCCCCGCGTCGGGCTCTGTGCTGACTGCCAGCTCAGAGCCTGGAGTCTGTTTCAGAGTCTGTGACTCCCTCTCTCTCTGACCCTCCCCTGCTCACGCTGTCTCTCTCTCTCTCTCCTAGAAATAAATAAAACATAAAAAAAAATTATTTTAATGGGTTAGGGGTGCCTGAGTGTGGCTCAGTCGGTTAAGCATCTGACTCTTGATATCGGCTCAGGTCATGACCTTCATGAGTTCGAGCCCCACATGGGGCTCTGTGCTGACAGTGAAGAGCATGCTTGGGATTATGCTCTCTCCCTCTCTCTGTCCCTTCCCAGCTTGCACGTGATCACTCACTCCCTCGCTCTCTCACTCTCTCAAAAAATTTAAAAACTTTAAAAAATTTTAATAAAATTAAAAAATGGATTAAAAATGATCAGACTACCTAAAGCGGTACTGTCCAACACAGTAGCCACCAGCCACACGTGACTATTTATGGTTCAATTAACTAGAATAAAGTTAAAAATGTAGCCACAAAGCGAATGTTGAACGGCCACATTCCCCCTCCCTGAGGCGATCTTGCTGCCAGTCTCCTTTGTATCCTTGTAGAGATTTATTATATGCCTCAACAGTGTGTGTGGATGCAAACCTCTTTTGTTAAAACAAATGAGAAGAGACCCTAAATGCTATTTTGCTCTATGCTTTCTTCACTTAATGACACTTGGACATCACAATGTACACGTACACATACTGCTTCATTCTTTTAGTGGCCTCAGAGCCATCTACTGTCACCAGGACAGCCATCACCACCCCACGCTTCTAGCCACGCCCCTCTATGTCTCTCTATGTAGCCCTGCACCCTTCCCTCCCCAAAACATGTTCATTCCTCCTATCTCACTCTGCACATCCTCAGACTCTTTTCCGACTCTCACTCTCACTTGTTGGCCTAAGAAAAACCTGGTTGCTCCCTGAGGAAGTTGCCTTTCTGACCGTGGAGGCAGAGGCAGTATGTTCTCTCTCACCCACATTCTTGCAGTCCATCTGCCTCATGGTGGATTCCAAACCAATCCTCTAGCTTTTCCCCCCTCAAAGCTCCCAGACAGCCTCAGGTTAAACCAGTTTAATGATAACCCACAACCCTCGGACCAACTAACCTCAGGCTAAACCAGCCAGGATGCCCTTAACCCCAACCCCCTGGTCCCTCTCCTTTAGTGGTTGGCGGCAACAACACCCACTTCACTGTCTTCATCTGCTCCCCAACTCCGCAACCATTGCTTCAATCCCAGATGGAGCATTGGGCCAATACCTGGTGGGACACATGTCCCCAACCTTTGTTCTCACCCAACCTCAGCCACCGACGCCCAGCCTAAATTCACACCAACACGTGAACCACCTGTAAAATGCTGGATTTGAGCATCTCACTCTCCGATCAGGGTCCCACACCTATGACTGTCTACCTAAGCAAGATTTCTCAACCCTACGGGCCATTTGTTAATCTTGCCATGGCCATTATGCTAAGTGAAAGAAGCCAGTCACAGAACACATAGCGTATGACTGTACTTATCTGAGGTACCTATAGTAATCAAATGCATAGAAACAAAATAGAATTGTGGTTGCAAAGGGCTGAGGGAGAGGGACAAGGGTAGCTGTGTCTAAGTATGAAGTTTTGGTTTTGCATGATGAAGGAGCTCACAACCATAAAATGAATATATTTACTACTACTGAATCATACCCGTAAAACGTTTACGATGGTAAATCCAGTTGTAATGTTTTTTACCACAATTAAAAAAAAAAAAAAACTGCGAAGCGAAACCACTGAAGCTACACCCTATGGGGATACTGAAGGCATCCTCTCTTCCTGTGGGCATCAAGGGCCCTGTCGCACCCAGCCAGCACACACAGCCCCAGGTGTCCAGGCTGACAACGATCCCACTCCTCCTCATACTGGCAATTCCAAGCACAAGATTCCCTTTGAAGCTTAGAGTCAAAGTAGGACAAATTAGAGGAATTAACTAAGGACCAGTTGGGTATTTCCCCGTTTATTATTCTCCAGCAACTAACGGACACCCAATGGTTTTGCTAGCTATACCTCTCATACTTCATTCATGCCCATTAATATGCAAACATCAGTTTCTCAGTTGGCAGTGATTCCATGAATTTTTAATTTACAGGGGATGAGGCAGAGATTAAAATTTTAAACTAAAGCCAACAATACAAAGGATTGTGGGATGTTGTTTTAATCCCTACATTTAAGAATCTCCAAATGAATTCACCAGCATCATCGCATTAACTATCATCTGGGAATTATCAAAGCAACTACTCTGAGTTTCTGCCTTTGGTGTATCATTAGAGAAATACATTCTTTTAATGGTACCTGTTTTGTGATCACTGAAAACCAAACGACATTTCCTATCATCAGGCTTTTCATCTTGGAAAAACTCCAGGCCACTTGGCAAATGCTCAAAGAGATCCCGACTCCATGGAAAAGCTACAATCATTTGTAGACTTGTGGCTAATATGTAAGAAATTCCTTTCAGCATAAAGGAAATCAGATTTAAAACAGCAAATTAGAAGAGAGAAATTGAGAAACACTGAACTCAATTCCTTCTGGAATCGCAAATCAAATTCTGGATTATTATTTCTAAAGAAAAGACAGAGAGGGAAGAGTTTTCTCTTTTGAGGGCAAGACCCCAAAGAAGTATAATATAAACCACATAAATAATTTAAAAAATTTTAAAGCCACATTAGAAAAAAGAAACAGAAGTAAAATTAATTATAATAGTTTAATACAATATAACCAAAATAGTCTTTAAAAAAAAAAAAAAAGGATTTTAACTTTTACATAACCTCTACACCCAATATGGAGCCTGAACTCATAACCCTGAGATCAAGAGTCGGATGCTCTACCGACTTGGCCAGCCAGGAGCACCATATCCAACCTATTTTTGTATCAACACGTAATCAACATTTTTTAAATTATTAATAAAAGGTTTACAGTCTTTTTTACTCTAAGTCTTTGGAATGCAGTATGTATTTTACAACACCGCTTAGTTCGGATCAGCTCTACCCAAGTACCAGAATAGCCACCAGCAGCTACTGTACTGAATGGTAGAACTATAGAACCAAAGAACATATCATCCTTGGAGAGAAACAGGACTAGCTCTTAAAATGTGAGCATGTTTCTGGATTGTTCTCACAGTATTCCTCAAATAGTAGCCCATAACCACTTGGGTTGTTGAATTAGCCGCTCCTTTGGTTGAACCACTGTTATTTCAACTTTGATCATTCTGGTACCATAATTTGAAATTTTGCAAAATCAATTTACTATGATTGTTCTCTTAGTTTCTTCAACCATAAATTGACTCAAAAATTTTATCTTATCCAGAACAATATCATCTGTGGTATCACAGATTCGATACTTCATGTTTGTTAAAAGAGCTAATGCACATTTAAATATGTAATACTTAAAAGACGTTTCTGTGCTCTACCTAAAGTCAACAATGAAATAAAATTTGTTCTCATTTGTAAATCAGCTATAGCGTCGTCTTTCAAAAGTGTTCCATTTGGCATATACAACACCAGATATATTATGACCAGAGTCCCCTAGCACCTAACATTTGTATCTCAACATTTATACATTTAAATATGACACAGCAGCCTCATTAAGAATACCTTCTGTCTGGGCGCCACACAAACCACTACGCGGATAACACTTACTCGTTTGTTTTAAATTGTTCAAAACCAACAGAGGTGGGATAAAACTCTTCCCTTAATGACCAGTGGTGGCTCAGTCTCAGGGGAGGCCCCTTAATAATTCCTTAATAATAAAGATGGCAGCTAAGGTTTCTTCAACTACATGCCAAACACTGCTCTAAGTTTTATATACATACATAGATACATACACACACATATACATACTGTTCTAAATTAATATATATAACATATATTACACTATATTATACATATATTATATACATATAAAAAACCTCTATGAGGGAGGTATTTTTGCTTTCCTGCTTTTCTAGATGAGGAAACAAGGCATAGAGGAGTTAGCAGCTTCCTATGGTCACAGAGCTAGCAAGTGGTAAGCTAAGATTCAAAGCTAAGAAATCTAACTCCAGAACCTGTGCTATCACACTGGAGATTAAAAATGGAATAAAGAGATGGAAGTTGGAGAAGGCATGTTTTATGGTCACAAACTCAAATTCCTCAAAGACAAAACCCATCCCCCACAGGATGTAGAGAGTGAGAGAAGCCACACCCTCTAATAGAAGAATGGAAGACACGTAGGGTAATTTAGAATACCCTCAAGATGACTCCCATAAGTTACAGTGGAAAACTCATCTTAGTTATAAAGGGAAAAAATGCATGAAAATTCAAGAGAAAAAAGATTCCAAAAACACATAGAGAAAGAAGAATGGATGGATTGAAGCACGGATAGATTGATGGATAGATGGACAAAAGGACAGACAAATGAGCATACAAACATTCACTCCAGACTCAAGAGCAGGGGACAGGGAGAATTATAAAAGGACATCCCATCTCTATGACCATCCCAGAAGGTGCCTGTCATACAGGTGATATCACAGCAGGCACTCCCAAAGGCAATTTGGGTCCTCAGTCTCATGCCTGGGACCGAGCCTGCAAGGGGAGTTATGCCGACAGCCCAATTACGTGGCCTACCTCTGCAAGGCTTCTCAGCCCGGACAAGATCAAAGTCCACTTACATGTATTCCCTATGCGCAGAGTGCACCGCGGCAGCATTGCTGTAACGCCACAGGACAATCGCCGATGACAGGACATCGAGGATGGCATCAAACTAGGAGAAGAAACACGGCATTAGCGTTTCCCAGCGTTAATAAGGCATGACTGTGAAGACACAAGGCACAAAGGCTTGGAATCTGAGCCAGTGATCTCAGAGCAAAGAGGCTTCACTTCATTATGATACAGGCTACTCATCATCCTCATGGTGGGTCCTGGGAATGTGGAGCTGAGGCCACCCGACACGGGAGCCTGGTGGCATTGCCATGGCTTCTCGGCAGACCTCTCGCTGCTCCCACGGCCCTGGTTCCTAGCGCTCTGGAGATCATGGAAGATATGGGGAGAGGTGGACTCTTCTGACCTATATCCCCCGGCAGACAAAATAATGTACAGCACAAGTAAAAGACTCAGGATAAGGATTCGGTTTCCGGTTCCCAATGGGATTGCTCTATATAAGGTTCAAGGGTGAGAGTGAGAGTGAGGGTAAGGTTCAAGGGTGAGATAACCCCAAGGGTTCTGAGAAATCTGCTGACACTTCAGAAATGTAAACAAAATCAATGCTCTTGTTTGAATGAATGAGTGAACATGTGAGGGACAGAGACAGAATAAAGGAGGTAAAGGGGAGGGGTGTGTGTGTGTGTGTGTGTGTGTGTGTGTGTGTGTGTGGTTTGTTTTTTTGGAGAGACTGTCCATACTTTTCAAAAGATTCTGAAAACAATCTACAACCTCCCAAACCTGAAGTTCTCACATCCAAGAGAAGAAGTGGGTTTGGGAACAGGGACACAGGCCCTCAGGTACAGGAAGCCCTAAAGCTACATCAGAGGATGCTGGAGCTCTCTAGATGAGTCACCGCATCCCGTACTTCGCTTTTCATCTGGAGAACTCCAAGCACTAGCACTCTCTTGAAGGAATGTCGGGAAATTTCACCCAAGCTTGCAACATCTGAAACCTCTTTTCTCTGACCAACTCCCATGAAGAAACAGGTTCGGGACCCAGGTTACCCCTAACGGGGCTACAGACTGATGTGTGTGGTGCCAGCAGCCCCAATCCTAACCCCGAACACCTCTGCTGCACCAGCACATGCTTTACTCCAGTGTGCACCCACTTTCAAACCTATGACCTTGAAGGAGAAAAACAGGTCACAATCATCCTCTCAACCAGATGTGGACAATGAGGTCCCCTAATCTGTTATGGAGACCCATAGAGTATCATTGCTATTTCCTTCCACGAAATTGTAGGTTATTTTTTTTAATAGAAACTATTTCCATAAAAGGTTTGTCATGCTAAGCTGTCTTCAGCTAACCACCCTCTGAACTGCGAGCCCAGGGTGAGATTCATGTGCTCAGGAGAAACGTGCAAAACTTCATAAAAGTACATTTCAGGTTACTTACTGCAAACCCAAAAGCAGAGGCGCTGTACCTCATAACGGAGACAGCTAAAAAGAAAGAAAATATTATTCAGAATATTTTAAGACCTCATGGATATTTTCTCTCATTTCTGAGTATATTAATATAGTTGATAGGGCCTTTTAAACATCAGTGGAAAAGTTCCAAAAGCATTAAGTTAAAAATTAACTGTACTTGTCAACCCTATGAACTGAAAAAAGGAAAGAGTGAAGTGAAAAGATTGTGGATTCCACTGGCAAGAGCATCCCTTCCCACTGCATCCTCTGGCACAAAGGCGCCGGCTTTGGGAGGAAAATGCCCGAGCACCTGTCAATCAAATGGCTGGGAGACTTTGTGACTTCAGCAACTGGGAACAGACAGCTGGGAACCACCTGAAATTGCCAGGGTGAAAATGCCACCGTCCATACTGTTCTCATCATCAGGTAATTTATCCACATGCACATGTCACCGCTAACACAGTTTCGAGAAATCTCCTGCTCACCAGAGCTGAAACTCCAAAGCAGGCCTCAAGAAAACTGTTTAAAAACCCATAGCAAATTATCTTAAACAAGAGACATCTACAAATATAACGGCTCTAATTAGAACATTTATCCATATTCAAAAATCTATCTACATTTTTGGAGGAAAGTCAAATGAGTGGCATGTTTGCCTAATCTGTGATCTGTTCTGTGCCCATGTCCAGCCTCAAAGGCTGTTGTTCTCAGTTTGACCTAAAGCCCTATTACCAAGCATACGTCCACCCTCCCGCAAAGAATGAAATCCCACCCAATGAGCCAGCAAAGGTCTGAAGTAGATTGTCCCAGGCACAGATATGATAAACATTGATTCACAGAGTAAGTGAGGCATAGGTGCAGGGCATGGAGGTCCATAGGCATTTGGGCCCAACTCAGCTCACCACATGGCCCTTCTCTACACCCCATTCTCTGTCCTACCCATAACATCCAGGAATGGGCACGGGACGGCCATATTGTGCTTTGTGCCCCTGCCCCTCACCTAAACAGGGTGATCTGACCCAGTGTGAACCAAGTGTACTTTGTTTTCTGTGAATTAAGAATTGAGACCGAGGGGGCACCTGGGTGGCTCAGTCAGTTAAGCGTCCAGTTTCGGCTCAAGTCATGATCTCACGGTTCGTGGCGTCGGGCTCTGTACTAACAGCCAGCTCAGAGCCTGGAGCCTGTCTCAGATTCTGTGTCTCCCTCTCTCTCTGACCCTCCCTCCCCTGCTCATGCTGCCTGTATGTCTGTCTGTCTGTCTCTCTCAGAATTAAATAAAACATTAAAAAAAAATTTTTTTTAAAGAATTGAGACTGAGAGAGAGTCTAGTTGGTCAATTAATGTTGTTAGAATTGAAACCTATGAACACAGCAGTGGAGTTGGCCATCGTGTGCTATGAATGCCAAGGGAGTAGAGAGACAAGCAAGGAGGAAATGCAATTCTGGGGCAAGAAACCACTGGCTTCTTAACACTTCCAAGCCCTTCCAGGGAGTCAGCTACATTCCAGGACTCTGGCTGTGTAAGACAAATGCAATTCATTTAATTCCTGACCATCTTTGGCTCTTGCAACGAGTCGCTCCAGTTATCCTTGCTGTTGCTTTTATGGGCATAGGGAGAAGGGCAGAGCCACTGTGGGCAGTGAGGGGCTGTAGCTTTCCTGGGCAACACAGCCATGGTGACTCAAAGAGGCTCTGACTCTTCCCAACAACTCAACTCAGAGGCCACGGTGACATGAGTAAATATGGCAGGAGACCCCTTGAGGAGTTGCACTGAGCACCAAGATACACTAGAGGACACTAAGCCTGACTTGTACCAAGTTCTCGGTAACTCACTGTTAAGCTTCATAAAGTTTCACAGAAACAAATACTCGGTTTTTTTGCTTTACAGCCTGTTTTTACAGTATCTTAGCTCTGTGCTTTCTGTTGCCTACTTCTCTATCAGCAGCAGAAACCTTTTTAGCTCCTACTAACATTTTGCACAGACGCTCAATATACTCAGCAGATAAAGAGCTGCCTAGGCCAGAGCTCCCGTACTGTCCCCACCCATCACTGTCTGCCCTGGGCACCAGGACATGGAGAGCACAATGGAGAAAGTACTACACTTGTCATCCCAGAAGACTGCCTGCTTTCCCAAGAGGTAAACTGTTGTTTACTCTAAAAAGCTTAATCAGTTATTCAGTAAGACCAGACATTTATACAGTGGATGACAGATTTCAAAGAGGTGTACACCTAGTTGATTATGTTGACAAACTCAAGGAACTTTACCTTAGAGACTCTGGAATCCAACAAAGGAGATGGCCATTGATGGGGGGTTTCCCTGACTCAGTTGGAGTCAGTGTCCATGATTTCAAACCCCCTCAGAATTATATGGAAAGTTCTGCCTGGGTGAGTGCCTCAAGCTCGCCTAGGGGATGAATCACTTAGAGCACAAGTAGAATACTAATGCTGTTCTATCCCCCATGCACCAAGGCAAGTTTGAGTAAGAGGGCTCCAGGTTAACCAGAGTCCTTCACAGAGGGAAGGACTAACATGCGTCATTTACTTCTAAATTGGCTCCATCTAATCTCCTTGATGAGAGGCAAAGGCAGAAAATGCCTAATTGTGTGGGGAATCTGGGGTACACTGAAGGGCCCTCGCTCTGACAGCTTCCTTGTGTGGGCAGTTCCCATTTGGAGAACAACAGATAGATGGGGGCCAGGATGACCCACCAGGATAGGGGTTACAAGGCAGATGGACCGGGAGCCGCAGGTGTACTTGGCTGGAGGTAGCTGAAAGCCACCACAGGTCCAGAAAAAAGTCTAGCAATGTCTGGATGGCAGGTGCACATTCAACGTGGATGACAGAGATGAACCCTTTCAACCCCGGAATCATCCTGCCAGCTGGCAAGGTACAGGGAGAGAAAGAAGCGGGGCTGCAGTGAAGCGGAGCTCTCTTACTAAGATCTCTCCGGGTCAAGACAGGGGCCATGGAGCCGAAAGAAATGAAGCCAGAGTGGCTGTCGGCTGGCGGAGCCGGGCCTGTGTGACAAACAGCACCGCTGCTCTGGAATGGAGTGCCTACTGTCAGGAGCCTCCAAATTCATCCAGAGAGCACTGCTATTAGAACGCCCTAGGGAAATTTTGCAGACCATTTCTGCTCCTCCCATTTAAAACTTGTCTCCACCGCTCATAATTTAAGCATGCACTCTGGGACCCGGTGGTCACCAACGGCCGTAGAGGCATACAATCATGGGCCGCTGGAGCCTCATTCCCCAGGGAGCCGAGGCCTGCGTTCCCCCTTCACGCCCGCCTCCCTTTCCCTAGAGAGTAGCAGTAGACCACCATCTGATTACGCTGGCCTCGCACATCCAAAAACACATGCTTCAGATGTGACTGGGCTCCCTTCATTTTCCAAGCCTTTGTTTCTCCCCTACGAAGGCACAGAGTTCTTAAAATGTTCTTAAGTAAAATGAAGATCTATAGTTTTGGGGCCTTCCCAGCATCCATTCCCCATTGAGGTAAGAGCACTCTGAGTCCCCCTTGGGGAGAGCTGCCGCCCTATCCTCAGAGTATGTCTTTGGGGTGCGATCACACCATCAGCCCCACTCCCGTGTAACCTTGTCCTACAGCCAGAGGTAAAGATTCAAGGGGAGCACAATTCAGTGTGAACCAGCGAGAACCTGTGTTCAGAGTTTGTGCTAAAAATCCTGGGAAGGGGAGGCCTTTCCAATATGAGACTGTACAGCTGGCAGCAGGAAAACAGGGGCTCCAGGCAGCAATTTTGCCCTAAATGGGGAGAAGCTGCCTCAGATTGAAGGCAACAAGAAGGAAAGCAGATATGAAGGATATCAGGTCCCTGACAACATGCGCTGAACCTCTGGAACCTAACTCAAGTCTTCCCCTGTGGTTTTCAAGTATGTCAGCCAATAATTTCCTTTGATTTGCTCCAGCCAGCTTGAGGCAGGTTTGTACCTCTTGCAGCCATGAGTCTTAATACAATTTGCCTCATTTAGTAATCCCATGTCCAAGAATCTCTTTTAACACCTAAGAAATGGAAAAACATTTTATGGGTCCCTGGGTGGCTCCGTCGGTTAAGCATCTGACTTCAGCTCAAGTCATGATCTCGTGGTTCACAAGTTTGAGCCCACATGGGGCTCTGGGCTGACAAGGGAGAGCCTGGAGCCTACTTTTAAGATTCTGTGTCTCCCTCTCTCTCTGCCTCTCCCCGACTCATGCACTCACGCACTGTCTCTCTCTCTCTCTCAAAAACACACATATTTTTAAAAAAAGAAATGGAAAAACACTTTATACACAAAAGGCTCATCAGAGTTTTATCTAATTTATAATATCAAAACACTAGATACAACTTAAAAGTCCAGTAATAGGGTGATGATTCAAGTACAGTCCATTTGGGGCGCTGGGTGGCTTAGTCGGTTAAGCATCTGACTTCGGCTTAGGTCGCAATATCACTGTTTGTGAGTTCGAGCCCTGTGTCAGGCTCTGTGCTGACAGCTCAGAGCCTGGAGCCTGCTTCAGATTTTGTGTCTCCCTCTCTCTCTCTCTGCCCCTCCCATGCTCATGCTCTGTCTCTCTGTCTCAATAATAAATAAACATTTAAAAAAATAAAAAATAAAAGAAATAAAGTACAGTCCATTAAAAAATAAGCTACATGTAAGGTATTTGAAAATGTTGACAAAAAGTACATTTAGTTAATCTTCTATGAGCACATTAGTTAGAATAATGATATGATAATAAACACATAGGTGGCATGATTAGTCCCATCAGCACTGGGTGCCACGGAAAAGGATGGTCCTGTGTCAGGAGGCATCTGGCTAGTGCAGGTGCAAACTTAAAGGAGAGGTCAGAAGAGGCTTCGCTGAGAAGGTGACATCTGAACAAAGACTTGGAAGAGGTGAGGGAGTGAGCCATGCAGTCGCCAACGAGAAGAATCTTCCAGATAACAGGAAGGGTAAGTGCCAAGGACCTGAGATACAATGCCTGGTATGTGTGAGGCCATTTTGCCTGACGCAAAAAGGAGCAAGAGGAAAGTTATGTGAAA